CGCAAAATGCTTGCATCATATAACTGAAGTGGGTAACTGAAGCTTGGGTGCATGGCATTGCTTGGGTGTTGTACTTGCAGCATCATACAACTTTCCAGGCCACCAAAGTAGTGGCAGGCCATTCAAAATGCTTGCATCATATAATGTCAACTGCAGTCGCCTGTACTAACATCGTATGATGTAAACCACAGTTGAAGGGTTAATAACTTGTGAGAGAAAAGTTGTATTTTGATTCATTGCTAAAACATTTTACCTTTTTCCACTCTAAACATTTTAGCTAAAATGTTTTTAAGTTTCTGTTTGAGATGACTAACTAGTAAAAATACTTAACTAACTTAACTTTAAAAAAATTTATTTTTATGTAATAAAAATTACTGATTAAGAAGGTTAGAATAGAAACTGCTTTGTATTTTTATTTAGGTTGAAAGTCTAACCCCACAATTGATAAATGCTGGAAGAATCCGTATGGCTTATCCAACTAACAAGGTAAAAAATAACATTTATGTTCACTTTAACTCAAAAGGCATATTTTGCCATTGTGATGGTCTGTAATGTGTAGCAGGAAATTGTGCTTGGTGTATCAAATAGGTAAACTTGGTATTGAAAAATACCGTTTTCATTATGGTACTTTTTTTTTATTATTCATCATTTTACAAAATTGCTCACTTCAATTATTCACCAGGTAATAAACCTAAAAATATTGTGTAATTCTAACCAGTTACCCTCTGAACACTTTTTAAATTGGGTTAAATGTATGATAAACATAAATCTATTATGAACATAAATGTATTATAATTGGTAACAGTAAGTATTAAAAATAATGTATAAGGATATGTTTGGATTAAACTTGCCAGGTTTAGTTGTTGATGGTCTCAGTACACATTAGAAAGGAATTTTTCTCAAAGGAGATTTAAATTGAATAAAAAATACAAAAAAGCTAATCAGTAACAGAAAATGCAAAATTAATAATTTGGTATTGAAAAATACTGTGATCATTATGGTACTTTTTTATTATTATTATTCATTTTACAAAATTGCTCACTTCAATTATTCACCAGGTAATAAACTAAAAAAAATTGAGTACTTCTAACCAGCTATTGCTAAAACTTTTTACCTTTTTTCACTCTAAACTTTTTAGCTAGAATGTTTTTAAGTTTCTGTTTAAGATGACTATCTAGTAAAAATACTTAAATAACTTAACTTTAAAAAATTTATTTTTATATAATAAAAATTACTGATTAAGAAGGTTAGAATAGGAGATTCTCCCAGTTAATTTGGCTGCTTATTATGCATGGTATTTGAGTTAATTTTTATCTTTTTATTTCACACAAAAATAATTTTAATGAACTTATTCAATTAATTGCCACTAAAGTATTCAGTAAATGATATTCTCTTGTTTCAAACTAAGAATTTGGTCATTATATCCATCAAATATTATTATGCTCTACACTTACAATTACAAATATTTTTACATTCTTTGAAAAGGTTACTGCTTATGTAGATGAGGGTAAGAGTGTAGATTTGGTCTATATT